TGTATGGATCAACACAATTTTTTTATGATAAATAATATTTTTTAATAATCTCTTTTTCATTCGACATACTTTATCTTAATCAGGATATTAATAAGGAACTAGCAGATCATGTAACTTTTGGAATAATCTACCAATTTTTTAAAAGTAAACACTATCTTAAAATACTTGATCCAACAATTACACGTCACCATTATACCGCGACCCCCCCCCGTACAGACTTTTTTTTTATTGGGTCTTTTAGTTAAAGTAAATCATTAAAATTAATTAAGTTCTGAATATTTCCATTGTAGTATCTTTTTGAACACCAATTGTTAATTAAAAATGATTACTATGATTTTTATTTAAGTGATTTATTACGATAAAAATGTAAAAAAAAATCGAACTGTTCTGATAAATTTACTGTAAATATAAATTATAAAATTTCCTGACTTCATATTAATTTTAACAATTTCATTTTTTTCTATTTATTAATGTCAATTTCAGACTTGCAAGTTGAGCTAAAAGTTATGGTAATAAATTCATTTTTTTTACTATTATAAACTTTCTTTTTAAAGGACGAAATAAAGTAGGTTAAAAATTATTACTTTTAACATATTTTAAAATCAATATCAATAATAATTTGAAAACAATTCAATAAAACAATTATGTAATATATAATTTTATATTATATTTTTGAATCTAAGAATTATTAATCTGAATATAATTAAGGAAACAGTTGATGTTGCTTTTGTAATTATCCACCAATTTCTTAGAATTAAACATTATATACAGATTTGCATCGAAGCGTTTCTTATGATAGTGATTTTTTTATTTAATTTAATTCGTTTATCAGATGTATAACTTTAACGCTCATANTTCGTTTATCAGATATATAACTTAAACGCTCATATTTTTGAAGTTAAAATACATGTTTAACATGAGTAAATGTTATTTTGCTTTCAATTATAACCACATGTCATTTTCCTAAAAAAAATAACATTTTTAAAACTATAATAACTTTCAATACCATATTTTGTTTTCTAAGGTTAAATTTTTACAGACTACTAATGCTAACTCCTGTTAAAAAAAAAAAAAGAGAATATTTAAGGCAAGGCTAGAGTAGATGATATGCGTAATGTCAAGTTCTGTGTGAAATATTTAACTAAAACAATTACAACAACAACAATAAGCAATTTGTAACACAAGTTTTATACACATTAACATAAATTATATTAATAAATACATACATAAATTTGTACACCAAAAAAAGCACAAAATATTAATGAATAGAAAGATGATTCGATAGTCCTGTGCACTTTAAGGATCCTGACAACATGTGTATTTGGCCTGGATATGTAACTGAACTGGTCGCTCGTTCAGCCGTTATTTATCATATAATGATTATAAGTTTATTTCACCCCTCCTGTTTTAATCAACAACACCCAAATTCCAATTAAGGCCAAAACAAAATATCTGGTACTAATTATAGATAAACGTCTCACATGGGCACCCCACTTACATGAGAAAATAATAATATTAAATCAGCCCCTGAAGCTTCTTTGGCCATTATTTAACAACAAATCAAAAACTAACTTAAAAACAAAACTTACTATATACAAAATGTCACTTAAACCAATTTGGTCATATGGGATAGAACTCTGGGGTTCAGGTAAAATTTCCAATACAATCAGAATCCATGTCTTCCAATCACAAGTCCTACGCACAATTTTTGCCGCACCTCCTTATGTTTCTAACGAAACACTCCACAAAGACACCTCCTTCCCTACTGTAGTCGAAGTAGCCAAAATCCACTACAAAAGGTTTCGAAAGAGACTCCAGGGATATCCCAATCCTTTAATCGCCGATTTGGCCTCCAATAATCTTCCTGAACACCCTCCGCGTCGCTTAAAAAAAAAATGGTGTAGAGACCTGCTAACATAGATTAACTGCACTTTTCCAGTCATTGGAGTTCTATCACTGGAGGGTTTTTCCAACCATGTTTAACTGTGAATATAATATGAAAATACTTATAATGTTTAATCTTCCTACATGTCCAGGATTATAAATTATGATTTATTTATTATTAGGAATCATAAATTACAGGATATTATATTATTAGTCTATTAAATCATTCACAAAAATCAAGCAAGTCACATAAATTGGTTTGGTAAATAATATGTGTAGTTTCTTAGACAAGACAATCAATGGTTAATAAGAATGCTTAATAGTTCAATAATATTTAATATTATATGATAATAATAATAATAGTGAAAAATTATAATATTAATGAGGAAGTATGTTAAATAGTACTAAAAATTCCATAGTTATTAAGAATTTTTTTTTTTTTGAGTTACTGAATTAGTTTAACTGTTAAACAATGATATTATTTTATTATCATTATATTACATATTTTATTATTAATATTGTTATCGAGATTTTGATTTTACATTCTGAGTATTAAAGTTAACTATACTCAGACAGCATTCAGTTTATTTTTATTTTGATATAATTTTTTAGATTTCAGTTTCAAATATTTTTGATTATCAAGTATGTTCTGAATGTATTCTTTTCTGTAGCCTGAGAAATAAAAGAGGTATTGATTTTATAATATTCCAGAGGAGAATATTACAACATAGTATAACAAATGATACAACTGTCGTTTATCGTATAACCAGTTTAAGGTGTTTGAATACTCTTGGTGAAATTATATATAGAAATACTTATATTTTTAATATTTTTTTTCTGCCATTTTCTTATATTTTGAATGATAACATCTAATAAAATAAAAATTGTCACATCGAGCAATCGTGCTAATCCGTATTAAAGGGAACCCTATTAAATTATTCTGATCGTTAAATTAAAAACTAGGTGAGTTATTTAAAATGTTCTTTTAAAAATAGTGATATTAACTTGTTTGCTAAGATGCAACTATTATTGTGTTATACTTCATCATCAAAATGATTAAATTTTTTAAATATAATAATTCAATCACACAAATAAAAATTATATATCCCCTAGGTTTGTAATGTACAGAATGATTCACATATGTCATTGTGAATTACGATAATTATGATAATTTTCAAAGTTCTCTCAATTTATTAATCATGCAGTATTTTTTATCATAATCAATTATCATAGTCATATATTAAACTAAATGAAAAGTAATAATAACTAAAAAAATAAGACAGTTTGAATTTGGTGAATTGAAATTAAACAGTAAAAAATATATGTAAATACTCATTACGAATAATTTAATTTAATGTAAAAACACATGTAAACTATATTTAAGACTGTCTCGTAAGATTTAGATATAGAAACGATAAATTGTTACATTATACTACACAAAAATAACTTTTTACCATTATTTGAAAAAAAAAAAATTATACGATTTCTGTAAAATATGATTTATTCAAAAAACCTAAAATATCATTCCATGTATATAGTTCTTTATTTATCGTATTCACTATAAAAAATTAAATGAATTATAAATTAATTAATTTAAATAACGAAAAATTTTCAATTCTATATCTAGATATTGCGAGACTTTAAGCAAAAAAATGTTTGCGTCATCATCTACACTCACATCAACAGTACTCATATTGCATTCAATAAAATCCTTTAACCTCTTCCAATAATATTCGTTAATTATTGTAATTTAATTAAAATTTCAAAATTATATTAATCAGGATATAGAACTTGTAGTATTTTAAGTGTAGAACATGGTTATTTAAATTTCAATTTCTTATACTAAAATAAATTACATAATTAACAAAAAAAATTAATTGTACGGTAAGTGGCAATAACGTGCTTGTAGCAATTCATGAAATTTGTATAGCCTGATGTTCCATAAAAAAACAAAGTAATATGAAAAAATGATATGTAATACATTTTTGGATTTATTTTTATTTCAAAATCAGAAAAAAAATATTTACAAATCGCTATTATTTTCACTATTAATGTTTAATGATTTCACAATTTTATATTTTTCTGAATCTGTAATATTATTGTCAAAAAATTAGATTAACTAGCGTATCAATAAGTTACCAAATATGATCGGAAAATGCTTAAAAGCCTACATCGCTAATAAAGCATTAATGTTTAAAATTTTAAAATTAACAAAATTGATCTGCGTGATGTAATTTGTATAATGAAACAATAACATTAATCAAATAAATGTACGTATAAAAATTGTACATGTATTATCTTTTTAGTAAAACAAAAATTATAAGGCAGATAATAAACCAAAATAAGGTATAAATATTAGTAACAAAAAAAAACACGTAAGTAAAACAATGATCAACTTTAAAACAAATTTTTCAAAAATTAACTAGTTTCTTAGATCTACTTTAGATTGACCAAAAATTGTCCTATGATTAATGGTTTTTTATTAATTACGTAATTAAAATTAATCTAAGGAATTTGAAAGTTATATAATCGTGATCTACGCTGAAAATGCTACAATTTTCATACGCTGAATAATTATATAGTTAATTAATATTTTGTTAAAAATACACAAAAAGTTTCGAACTCAAATTTTTAGAAAATATTTTTATTGTTTATATAAGAAATCTAGAAATATCTGGTTATATATATTGTGATTGATTTTTCGTGCTACTCTGATTACCAGGTACATAAATGCCTAGATATAAAAATAAACAGATCCAGAAATTCCAAAATTATAGTTTAAAAGTTGTTAACAAACGGTTATTTTGTTACCAAGGTCAGTTTTATTAATATATTATTTATTCTAATTTTTAATCAGGTTAAACATAATAATTTTATAATAATTATTATTTCTAAATTTTATAATTATCTATTATAAAATTTTAAGAGATACGGGGAATAGAACACAACTTTTTTCTAAAAATTATAGAACATAGAATATTATTAACATCTGAAATGAAAAAATATTATATGAAATTAAATTTCGTATGTTATAGTTGAATAGTCACTGTATATACTTTAATATTGTAGGGAATAAATAATTCAATTTTAATTGTTTACTTATTAAATTTTATTTAATAAGAAACTTTTATAAAGACAATTATTTTTGTTACGATATTTATTCTAAGAAAATTGTGGAAGAATAGCATTAAAAAAAAAGAAAAATGGTTTGTAAATTGTAATGTTTTAATAAGTCATTGTAGTTGTAAATAATCTTTCAATATTTTTCAGAATTATCCAGTCTTGTTGAGTTTGTGTTTGTTTATTTTTGCTGGTAATAAATATTTTTATCAAATTAGACGAAGTAATACTTTAAGTTTTTTTTTTTGTGGAGGTAAAAAATACATGTACTTTTTGAAGCAATAGAAATACGGTTTCAGATTTTGTAACATTTTTGAAAGAATTTTACCATGTCTCTTAAACGCGATTATTATAAATTTATAATTGAGTTATAACTAAAACATTAATTTAATATTATATTTTTGATTATTGAAATGTTTAATTTATCTTTTACAAACCAAAGTTATACGCACTGATAGAGTTTTAGAAAATTGAATAAGTTTTTCTTAATTTAGAGTGTAAAATTTTAGCTTCATAGGAGTTAATATCTATCCGCTTAAAATACGATCGAAAAATTCGGTTTAATACGCTAAAAATATTTAAAAATATGAAATTCATAGTATTTTTTTCATAAAATTATTACATTTTTCAATGATCAATATACATGTTTCTTAGAGTGAAGCAATTAGGGACCACGTGAGCCAGCAGTGTTTATCGTAGATATTTCAGTAAAAATTTTTGTTCTGGAGACATGTTTCCAGGTGTTGTACATAGTCACAACTTTATTATAGTTTTTATATTACTTTTTATTTTTATATTTTGTGGTGTTGTAATACACAACATACAATATGAAATATATGATATAATAAATACTGGTCTTATTAAATCTATTATTGAACGATACGATAATATAAATGATAATATTATATATATATATATATATATTTATGTATTTTGAAAGCATATGGTATCCCAGTCAATGATCAAAATGAAGAACGTAAGTTAAAACTTAATTAACTCCTTATTTCAATAAAAGATTCAAGTGTGATATTCGGTTACATTAATTAAGAACTTATTAAATCTCATCCCGTCGATCATTTGCTTAACCCCATATTTGACTCTTTAACATGTGAAAACTACCCTCTCTAGAATGTTAAATTCGGGAAATAAAAATATGTAATTTTGATCATCATTATTTGTATAATAACGACCCTAGTTGTGTCCTAGGCTTTTTTACATATCGTGTTTAAAAGTATTAACGGGTGATGATGTTTTAGCACAATTACTCTACACCCATCACTAACTTTTTGTATTATTTTACTTGTGTATATGAAGTGAACAAGATACAAATACACAAATGTCATAGAGTGTACCCTACAGGAAAAAAAATATATTTATATACAGGGTGTTCAGTAAGTAAGGAAACATATCAATTGTTATAAACTATGAGAACAATAGAAATTCGTTTCCTAACTGAACACTTTATATATAACTTATAGGAGCGTCAACTGTATTTTTTCAAATAGCAACATAAATAACTTACTATATTATTTAATAATAATTAATTAATTCATAAAATGACTAGGTTGTGTTATAATTTAAAAATTTAAGCAAAAGTTAATAAAATACAAATAATAAATAAATGATGATGGGGACTTGGGTTTTTGTATATAATGAGAACCTGATGTTGTGGTTCTATCGGGGTCGTATGGTTCGAGGGCTTAGAACGACAAAGACAAGTAGATATAAAAATATATGTTAAGTTCCTCTTATAGAGGTATAATAAACTATTGTCTGGTTAGTTTCTAATGTCTTAACTAAGAGGCAACGAAACGGCAGAGCCAGTCCACGAATACCAGACCCTAACTTATACATTAGAAATCACGCTAGGTCTTTTTTAAAACTTCTTTAAGACAACAAAACGGCAAAGCCAGTTCACGAACACCATATAATGTGATTATGTATAATTTCTTTAACCAACCAGTCAAAATTGATACTTTAAGATATTAATTTAATAAATGATCTATTGCTTTGTCATCCTTTACTCAAACTTATTAACTCCAAATAATTGGGATAACATAAAATTACTTACTTCTTTTATTCTTGCAGATTGCTGTAAAATTATTTGATAAATATCTCGATATGTTTATATATGTTTAAAAGTATTTAATTCGCACTTAATCAAAAGATAAATAATTAAAACAAGTTTTAACACAACAACACAGGGCTGTGACTGATAATTGTTTCTTTTTATTCTTATTTCAATTCAGAGAAAGCGAACTCTCTCTCTCCTTCACTCCTCGGAGTCTGAAAATATTTCAGTGCTTTTTATAGTAAAATGATAGTACCCCCAATCCAGGGATATTGTTGTCAGCGCTTTTAGTGATCTTTTTAGTTTATTGTATTTAATTATACATTACATGATTATTATATTGAGATAACATATTTAACAATTGATAAATTGACATATATATATACATATATAAATAATAAGAAATTGTGTTGAACATCGTATTTGTTATGACAGATAAATTATTTGTTTGTTTACAAATTATTTAAAATACAGATTACACATTAATAATTGTAAGATGCGTAATGCAAAGCATTGATCATATTACGACAGTTGATAATATATTTTAGAATAATATTTCAGAAGCTATTAACAAATTAAAATTCTGACTGTTGGTGAGGTGTAGGTGCAGCTATTTTTAGTATCAGTCATTTCTCGGCGTATTCTCCCATTTGGCAAAGATTAAAAATGAGAATAATATCCGTAGTACTGATCCAAAAGGTTTTATCTTCTAGTCATTGTCGTATTTCATTATTATCTATTAAAGAAACTAATAAATTATGTACGTTGCCATTTGAAAAATATAAAGTTGACATCTCTATAAGTTATAATGCATGATTTTAAAAATTAATTTATAGCTAATAAATAAAAAAATATATGTAACTATAAAATAAAAATCGTTTCTATAATTATATTTACTATAGGAATAATAGAATGGTTATTAATAGAAATAAACCCATGATTCGGTATATATTATTTTTTATGTTTTGTAAGCAGATGGTATCCCGGCCGATAACCAAAACGAAAAACGTAAGTTAAAAATAAATCATTAATTTCAAATTATATTTTTGACTATTGAATATGGTTGATATTGAGAATAGAAGATCTGTATTGATATTTAATAAGCAGGGATGGTGCGGCGTAGGCCTCTTGTTGTTAATCACTAAACTAGATATTATAATGATAATTACTGCACACCTATTTGAAGATGAAATGTAAATGTTATATCGTAAAAATACAGTTCACGTTATTAACTAAAATAGAGTGTTTTTAGTTTGATATAAAATATCGTAAGCTACAGCCAGAAATGTTGAATTTTTAACCCGCTTATATTAGTTTCACATGTTTGTTGTGGGTTGTGTGTTTGTAACTTTCCACGCGGCACGTGTTATTATTCTCGCGTACAACGTTACAACCATTTTATTGATAGTAACTACTATCATAACATGAAACTAAAAAGTGAAAAATAAATATATTAAAAAAAAAACTAAAAAAAAAGTTAAAATAATTTTTAGTTCAATGTGCTTCAAAAGCATGTTTCTTTAGTTTTTTAAACTATTTTTTCTTTTACGAACAAACATTATACGCACTGATTTGATTTTAGAATAGTTTGGCTTTATACGTTAAAAGTATTTGGAAACATGAATTTCATAGCAATTATTTCATAAAACTAATATATTTTTCAATGAATAATATTCATGTTTTTTAGAGTAAAGTAATTAACGATCACGTGAGTCAGCGGTTTACATCATAAACATTTCAGTAAAATTTGTCTCATTTTTCTTGGTGTGGTGTACAGGTGAGGTAGAAAAATTATTGCCGCGCGATAAGACATGTCTTCGGGTACCTTATACAGTTATAAATTTGGTAACATATTTATATAATGGTTTATTTTGATATTTTTTATCGTTGTAATACACAACATCAATACGGAATGTATGATATAATAAATACTAGTCTTATTAAATATATTATTGAACGATAGGATAATATAAATGATAATATTTTATATATATTTTTATTTATTTATTTTGATAGTATGTGATATACAAGAAGATGTCCCAAATGAAGAAAGTAAGTTAAAACTCAATAAAGAATCCAAGTGTTGTTTTTGGTTATATTAATTAAGAACTTAATCAATCTGATGATGTAAAGAATCAATTATTGAATAACATAATAATAAGATGAAGTAAAAAAATATATTTTTTTATTACATACTTCCACAACAATATCCATTAGTGGAAAGTATATCTACATAAGAAATAAAAAAATTTTGCGTAATTTTATTTTTAAAATTGAACAAATCTTTAAATAATTAATAGAGGGATTCTTTTTTAGTGTCTCTTAAAGTTCATGTTTCGTCATTGCAAATATTAAATATTATTAAAATACATTTTTCAAATGGAAAAATAAATAATTATAAGTTAATATAAAAATATATTTATTTATTTTTATCTGTGATATCATATCATATTCTAGGCGATAATCAAAACGAAGAATGTAAGTTAAAACTAAATCGAGTTTTTAATTCAATAAAAACGAATATAGAATTTTATAAGGATAGTTAATATAAATTAAATAAAATATCTTTCTGTTAAGATTCTTCTTGAATAACACTTAATTAATTAAGATTAAGAGTTACTTAGGCTTCACATATTTCCTGTCACCTGACTAACAATTCTTAATCCTCAATAGTTGCTGCAACTTACGAAAATGTGATTGAATGAACCTTTTTAGTATTCAGTTACAAGATTCCGGTAAAATTATGTTGAATTTTAAATATTCGAACAAAAGTTATACGCACTGACATGTTTTTAGAAAGAGAAATGTAATTTTCGTAAATATAAATAGAACAGTTTGATTTTATACTTTAAAAATATTTAAAAATGTGAATTTCATAGAATTTTTTTCATAAAATTATTACATTTTTCAATGATTAATATACATGTTTCTTAAAGTGAAACAATTAGGGACCACGTGAGCCAGCAGTGTTTATCGTAGATATTTCAGTAAAAATTATTGCTCTGGAGACATGTGTCCAGGTGTTGTACATAGTCACAACTTTAGTATAGTTTTTATATTAAAATTTATTTTTATATGTTGTGGTGTTGTAATACACAACATACAATATGAAATTTATGATATAATAAATAATGGTCTTATTAAATCTATTATTGAACTATACGATAATATAAATGATAATATTATATATATATATATATATATTTATGTATTTTGAAAGCATATGGTATCCCAG